GGGAGAGGACTACAAAATATTGACTGTGACTGCAGTACCACTTTTGGCCAGATTTTTACATATTGCTCCTTTAATATTCAAAATATTATTCTGGCATGAGCTTTGATGCTAACGGGGTTAAGCTAGCAGCTTTTTGTGTAAAGTTCTTCTCCACGAATGCAGCCCGGCAGCATCTGTGTCCAGCGACCAGAGACTTGATATAACAACACTGTGTGTTCACAGAGCTGCGTCCTGAGTTTATTTTATTACTAACCAGTACTTCTGCATCTGTGAACACGTTAGCAGCAGTTGTTTGTACTCACAGGAGAATGAGAACTCAGGCTGGAGGATTATGTTCACAAGCACTGTGTCCCCCAATGTCAGTCCTGGTTTAGCTCCTGTTTTGGGTGTTTTCGAGTGTTTTCGTCTGACCGGCATGTGTCCCCGTGACCACTTTGTGGCTCTCTGATTGGTTGCTGGCCAGCAAAAAAAGGTTATTTATTTATTTATTTTTACACTCTGGGCTATTACAAGCATTTATTTGTCAAAAAAATTGTCAACAATTGAATTTGAAAATGGTTTTTGACCTCAAGTCCCAGCCCTAAGGATCGATCAATCAGATGGCCCCTGCTACAGCGCAAAGCTAACCCTGTCAGTACAAATGCCCAGAAATTTGCTCCAGCTAGCTTCTGTTCAAATGAGCCTTTCTTGCATTTGACAAATACAGTGACTTCAGCACTTGCTCAGTCCACTTCTAATATTCGGCCCTGAAGTATGATGAAAGATGTCTTTGTTAAGGGGATATTACTTAAACAGTGATGACAATGTTTTACAGTTCTGATAAGATAGATAAAAAACAAGAACTTAGAGTGGTAGAAAATTCAAATGTTGTCACATTATTAGATTGACATTTTAATTTGGATTGTAATTGCGTTTAAAGCATTCCCTTCCCTCTTAACCCTTCATCTGTTCTAGTTTTTGTGTTCCCTCAACAGAAAATTGCTGTGTGTTTTAGCTGTAGACTCGGTGTTTGAAGGGTTTTGAAGTTTCTCTTTCAGGCACTAAGAGAGCTCAAGTGCTTACAGATGTGGTTACTCCATCCCACTTACTGCGGCACTTTAAACAGCCTGGGACTATTACTTACTCAAATGTATGATACTAGAAAACCAGACTATATCCTTAAAACTAAGCCTTGGGTTCCTATGACAGGGTATGAGGCTTAAAATAATTAAAGGTATAATTTTGATGGTGCCAAATCTGTGCGTTTTTTAAAGTGTAAGTGTAAGTTAAAATTGTTGTATAGTTGTTTTGTAATGGTTTGTACCAAAAAGTGGAAAGAAAATTTAAAAATATATTATAAATAATAAAATAATATTCAATTTATTTTTTGGCTCTCTATTGGCCTATCACTCCTTTACTTGGACAATCTTAAATCAATGGTGTTAAACAATAATTACTCCTGTGTTAAAAACTACTTTACTCCACCGATGCAAGTGCATTACAGCTCAATAATCGATAAATCTATAACATTTTCAATTTGCTATTTAAGTTGGAAAGTATCACAATGAACATAAGCAGTCATATTTTGTGATATTGAACCTTAACCTAAAAAATATTTCAAAAAATAAGCAAGATGGGAGCTGAAATGTGTCTTCTTTAATCTACTGTACTTTAATGTCCTTCATGCCAGTTGTTCCCACCTTTTTTGGCCCTGTATTCCTTGGACAGCGCTGAACAGGCACAAATGTTATCGGGGGAGGGAAAAAATGCACGGACCACTAGTGTCATTTTGGTTCGAGACCACAGTTGTTTTTAGGCTTCACTGTTGCACCAAGGTCTTTAACGTACTCATTGTGGGAGGTTCTAATTTTTTGCTTTAAATTGTATTTTCTTTTCATATATTTAGTATTTTTAACACATCTTTACCTATAATTAGTTTTAGATTTTTCTCAAAATGAGTGCTCGCTTAGACTGAACCCAAAACTGGACCAAAAGTTATAAAAGAGCTTAATTATAGACTTACTATTATTATTGTTATTGATTGTGTTCTGGGTTCAATGTTGTGAATAGAGTACCCTCAATTATTGTTTGCATAATTAATGCAATTTCTAATAGGGCTGGGCAATATGGCTGAAAACTAAATATAAGTAAATATAAGTAAATCATATCGGCCGATAACGGTATATACAGCCTCCTTGAACCTTTCAACATTTCGCCACATTTCAGGCTTCAAACATAAAGATATAAAATTTTAATTTTTTATCATGAATCAACAACAAGTGGGACACAATCGTGAAGTGGAACAAAATTTATTGGTTAATTTAAACTTTTTTAACAAATAAAAAACTGATTAGTGGGGCGTGCAATATTATTCGGCCCCTTTACTTTCAGTGCAGCAAACTCACTCCAGAAGTTCAGTGAGGATCTTTGAATGATCCAATGTTGTCCTAAATGACTGATGATGATAAATAGAATGCACCTGTGTGTAATCAAGTCTCCGTATAAATGCACCTGCTCTTTGATAGTCTCAGGGTTCTGTTTAAAGCGCAGAGAGAACCATGAAGACAAAGGAACACACCAGGGAGGTCCGAGATACTGTTGTGGAGAAGTTTAAAGCCGGATTTGGATACAAAAAGATTTCCCAACCTTTAAACATCTCAAGGAGCACTGTGAAAGCAATTATATTGAAATGGAAGGAGTATCAGACCACTGCAAATCTACCAAGACCCGGCCGTCCCTCCAAACTTTCATCTCAAACAAGGAGAAGACTGATCAGAGATGCAGCCAAGAGGCCCATGATCACTCTGGATGAACTGCAGATAACTACAGCTGAGGTGGGGATGGTGTGTTCAGGGTGATGAGCTCTGTTGCTTTTACGCCAAACATATCGTTTTGCATTGTGGCCAAAAAGTTTGATTTTGGTTTTATCTGACCAGAGTAGAGCCCTGCATGGGCCTATTATCTGGGCCCGAGCCCGGCCCTGGCCCGAGGGGGTGGCGCCCCAGCCCGGCCCGGCCCGATATGGTTTCTGAATTTTCAGGCCCGAAACCCGCATCAAGCCCGCCTTTTTTTTTTTTTTTGTAACCTCCCATAACAATGTTTTAGCGTAGTATATAGTGCCGCGCACTGATATGAACGCAGACTTAGCTAGAGGGCGGAGTTATACATGGTAGTGATGTGTTGCAATGAGTTCTGTGTGTGCGGAGTGGTGCAGAGTGAACGGCCGCATCTGTATGATGCCCCCGATGCTGCCAACACATCTGCACATTACATAAGTAATGCTATGTGCCGTCAATGACAACACTACAAAGAACAACAAACACTACAGCGTGATAGAACGCTATATTCAGTGGGTGCGTTCGTAAATCTATTCTGCCGCTCTGAAAATGAAGAGCCCGAGCCCGGCCCGTGTCCGAGGTCATTATGCGGTCATCGGCCCGAAGCCCGGCCCTCGGGCTGTCGGGCCGTCGGGGCCCTCGGGCCAAGGGCTCAAGTGCAGGGCTCTAGACCAGAGCACCTTCTTCCACATGTTTGGTGTGTCTCCCAGGTGGCTTGTGGCAAACTTTAAACGAGACTTTTTATGGATATCTTTGAGAAATGGCTTTCTTCTTGCCACTCTTCCATAAAGGCCAGAGTTGTGCAGTGCACGACTGATTGTGTTCCTATGGATAGACTCTCCCACCTCAGCTGTAGCTTTAAACAGAACCCTGAGACTATCAAAGAGCAGGTGCATTTATACGGAGACTTGATTACACACAAGTGCAATCTATTTATTATCATCAGTCATTTAGGACAACATTGGATCATTCAAAGATCCTCACTGAACTTCTGGAGTGAGTTTGCTGCACTGAAAGTAAAGGGGCTGAATAATATTGCACGCCCCACTTTTCAGTTTTTTATTTGTTAAAAAAGTTTAAATAATCCAATAAATTTTGTTCCACTTCACGATTGTGTCCCACTTGTTGTTGATTCATGACAAAAAATTTAAATTTTATATCTTTATGTTTGAAGCCTGAAATGTGGCAAAATGTTGAAAGGTTGAATACTTTCGCAAGGCACTGTATTGATTGTTTTGTTTTTAAACCTAAATAAATACATTTGTCGGGTCGGCTAACACACGTTAGCAGCCTTGTTTTCAGTTACGGGGGAATGAGGGTATAGGAATATATTCACAAGAACGGTGTCCCCCATTGTTAATCCTTATTTAATAATGGTTTATTCCTGGTTTAGTTCCTGTCTTGGCTGTTTTTGAGTGTCTTGAGTCCCCATGACGGCTCTGTGCGACTATCAAGAGAGCCCCACGTGCTTCGAGAGGGAAAAAGTTCATCTCTTGCTTTCGCCGAATACATCGGGTCTCTGTGTCCACTGCCTCTCCGCGCCGCACATGCTATTCCTCGCACGGACGTGCATAACTATCGACACGGCATTGAGACACGATCTGTAGATCCATGGACGCTACGCATGGTGCTGTTGTTGTTTTTGCATTTCCCAGAATGTTTTGCGGTACTTGGCTGCAAAGCCTTTGCCTACATCCCCCAGAATGCCGCACGCTTCTGACTCGGCTTTACTTCCTGTGTTTTCTTCCTGTTTTTTCTAACGGAGTGAAGTTGAACTATCGAACATTCTATCGCAATATATATCGGTATTGTTTTATCACCCAGCCTGCTACAGTATCTCAAAGTTTGTTAATCAGTTCAAGTACCATTAAGATTCCGCATTCCCCTGGTTGGAACACACTTCTGTAAAGCTTGTGTTTCACAGCAAGAAGGTCCTGTGTTCGATTCCACCTCCAGGCCTTTCTTTGTGGCGTTTGCATGTTCTCCCCATGTCTGCGTAGGTTTCCTCTGGGTGCTCCGGTTTCCCCTACCCCCTATGTAAAGAGTGAGTGAATAGATGGTGTTGATTGGGGCTTTTATCCACCAGTGTTTGGCGTTGTTTTGTGTGACCTTGGTCTGTAAAATAAATAAATACTTGATTACTTACTTGAGCTCGAATCTGAATCCTGTGTGCCTCTCCGTCAGGTCTGGATGCCGAGCTGTACTATGTGAGAGACGATCTGGTGAATTACTACGCCCTGTCCTTCCCTCTGCCTGTGCCCAGTGACACCAGCAGCCTCCACTTCACCTGGCATTCCAAAACAAAGGTAAACTCATTCAACCCTGTCCAATGAGAACTGCTCAGCCTGTATACAGTGCCTTGCGAAAGTATCCGGCCCCCTTGAACCTTTCAACATTTCGCCACATTTCAGGCTTCAAACATAAAGATATAAAATTTAAATTTTTGGTCATGAATCAACAACAAGTGGGACACAATCGTGAAGTGGAACGAAATTTATTGGATAATTTAAACTTTTTTAACAAATAAAAAACTGAAAAGTGGGGCGTGCAATATTATTCGGCCCCTTTACTTTCAGTGCAGCAAACTCACTCCAGAAGTTCAGTGAGGATCTTTGAATGATCCAATGTTGTCCTAAATGACTGATGATGATAAATAGAATGCACCTGTGTGTAATCAAGTCTCCGTATAAATGCACCTGCTCTTTGATAGTCTCAGGGTTCTGTTTAAAGCGCAGAGAGAACCATGAAGACAAAGGAACACACCAGGCAGGTCCGAGATACTGTTGTGGAGAAGTTTAAAGCCGGATTTGGATACAAAAAGATTTCCCTCAGCTTTAAACATCTCAAGGAGCACCGTGCAAGCAATTATATTGAAATGGAAGGAGCATCAGACCACTGCAAATCTACCAAGACCTGGCCGTCCCTCCAAACTTTCATCTCAAACAAGGAGAAGACTGATCAGAGATGCAGTCAAGAGGCCCATGATCACTCCGGATGAACTGCAGATAACTACAGCTGAGGTGGGAGAGTCTGTCCATAGGACAACAATCAGTCGTGCACTGCACAAATCTGGCCTTTATGGAAAAGTGGCAAGAAGAAAGCCATTTCTCAAAGATATCCATAAAAAGTCTGGTTTAAAGTTTGCCACAAGCCACCTGGGAGACACACCAAACATGTGGAAGAAGGTGCTCTGGTCAGATCGAACTTTTTGGCCACAATGCAAAACGATATGTTTGGCGTAAAAGCAACACAGCTCATCCCCCTGAACACACCATCCCCACTGTCAAACATGGTGGTGGCAGCATCATGGTTTGGGGCTGCTTTTCTTCAGCAGGGACAGGGAAGATGGCTAAAATTGATGGGAAGATGGATGGAGCCAAATACAGGACCATTCTGGAAGAAAACCTGTTGGAGTCTGCAAAAGACCTGAGACTGGGACGGAGATTTATCTTCCAACAGGACAATGATCCTAAACATAAAGCCAAATCTACAATGGAATGGTTCACAAATAGACGTATCCAGGTGTTAGAATGGCCAAGTCAAAGTCCAGACCTGAATCCAATCGAGAATCTGTGGAAAGAGCTGAAGACTGCTGTTCACAAACGCTCTCCATCCAACCTCACTGAGCTCGAGCTGTTTTGCAAGGAAGAATGGGCAAGAATTCCAGTCTCTCGATGTGCAAAACTGATAGAGAGATACCCCAAGGCACTTGCAGCTGTAATTGCAGCAAAAGGTGGCGCTACAAAGTATTAGCGCAAGGGGGCCGAATAATATTGCACGCCCCACTTTTCAGTTTTTTATTTGTTAAAAAAGTTTAAATTATCCAATAAATTTCGTTCCACTTCACGATTGTGTCCCACTTGTTGTTGATTCTTGACAAAAATTTAATTTTTATATCTTTATGTTTGAAGCCTGAAATGTGGCGAAATGTTGAAAGGTTCAAGGGGGCCGAATACTTTTGCAAGGCACTGTATGTCATCCCGTCTGTAATTAAATACTGCGATCATGATACGCCATTTCAGAGTGACTGAATGTCACTTTATCTACTTGTTATCCTGCCAGATATGTCAGATATTATCTGGCAGTAATAATAATTTTATACTATACAGATATCGTAGACAGATTGATGGATAGATAGTGATAGATAGATGGTGATAAATACAGTAGGTAGAGTGAATGATTGATTGATTTGATATTGAAGCATATTCAGCGTGCTAAGAAACATAGCAGTATATATTGTATATTTTGTGTGCTCCCTGTGTGCCCCAGTGTTCCCCACTGTGGAACGAATAAAGTTTATTTTATCTTTTAGTATGTGAGGTATTTAGTTATAACTGTGCTGTCCCTGTAGGTTGAATACAGACTCACGTACCAGGTGGAGACTCCTACAGCCATGAACACTCCACAGAGCAACATCTCCAGCCAGGGGGAGCTGCCGCGTGTACCGTCTGGTTTGTCAATATTTTTGTCTTTTTTTCACCGCGGATAAACATATGTCCCCAAATCACAGTATATCAATAAAGCATATGACAAACCCATCATTTCTATTAAATATAGTTGGATCTTGTGTATTTTTATGCATTTAATTGTCATTCTTGGTGTCTGTAGGTTACTGTAGAGTAATCTTTGCTTGGCAAATGGTAGAAATAGTAGAAATGCTGAGGGAATATTGTGTGTGTTTGCAGTGTTCAGAGTGGATCTCTTCTGTTCGGGAAAGGTGGACGGAGAGGCGGTGGTGACGGTGCAGCTCAATCTCACAGTCCACGCAAACAACTACACAGTGCTCAACTTCAAGAGGAGGAAAATGTGCTACAAAAGTCAGTATCCAATCTAATTTATTTGTGCGTCACCATAAATCTCAAGTTATCGTCTCTAAGGATGTCACAAAGTTGAATGATCAGAGAATCAAACTGTTCAAACACAGCAGATGATCACATTTGAAATGATTAATAGATTTAGTATTTACTGCAATATCACTTATAGATAATGTTCACTCTTGATACAATAGTTAATATGGTATATTTGTTTTTGTTTTCTTTCAAGGCAAAGCAAAAAATCTAATAAAACATCCATCACAAGTAGTAATGCTAGATAGAAGTTTATTAGTATAGCACAGTTTACACAATGTGCTAAAATGTGTTATATTATTATAATCATCATAGTAACTATCCAAAATATAATATTTTGATGTCCGACCCTTGGAGCTCACAATGCCTCTTCGACTAGTTAGTCCCCCCCTGTTCTATTGCCTCACAACATCTACTGTATACTGTTGCTGCCTTTATTGCATTTCAATTTCATGCTTTCTTGCTGTATACAATAGTCACTTTAAATCTATTGACCATTCCAAACCTGATTATGACTGTAATATGCCTCTTTTCTCTTCTCTTGTCTCCAGAAATAGATCCTGATCCAAACCGTCCCTCTCTCTCAAACAACTCGCTGCCAAGACCCGACTGTAAGTGCTCCCATCTACCTTCGCATGCAAAAGAAAAACACAGAAATGCACTTTATTTACGAGAGGGAAGTGCCGGGAGATGGACCACTGCTGCTTTTCCTCCTGCAGCTAAGAACAAGCCAAGAGAGAGGGTCCGCGTCTTGAACAGGACAGGGTCAGCTTCCCCCCACTCATTTGTGCTGGGGTTGCGGTTCATTCACGCTCTTTGTGTAAGCCCTCTGCCCAGTAACAAAGTGCCATTAGCAGTCTGCCTTTATGCTTGGGTAGGCCTAAGGAACCCGGGGCCCTCAGAGGATCCCGTATCATAGAGGGTAATGAGAAACGCTCTCAGACATGAGGGGAATAAGAAAGACCGTCCCGCTCTAGGCTTCCATTAACCTTAACTGGACCCCCTATGGATGGTGATGTAAGCCAGAGCTGAATTGTATTTGTAGTAGTATGATTAAGGACTAGAGTTGCAAAGGGGCCGGACATTTCTGGAAAGTTTCTGGTAAATTTCTATGGCATGTTAAGCTGGGGAATTTTGGGAATACTCCATATTAGAAACTAATAAGGAATTATTATAAAATGGTGTCATATTCACACATGAATATGTACCAAATTCAGAAGAAAAGAAAGAAAGACATGTCAGATATTTCAACTAGTATTTATAATAGGTTTAAATTATTTTATGGAACTTGTTTCATGGAAGAACAAAAGCAGAAAGTGGAATGAGCTTCAGTAATAAAAAGGCCATATGAGGTAGCTAGCATCTGCTTTGTGAGTTAAATAAAGTTATGCATAGTTATGATTACTGCTCTGACAACTCTACCACAATAAAAATACACATATTAGCCGTATTGCTATATAAGCCACTGGGATCAAAGAAATAGAAAAAAAAAAGCATTTTATAATCTGGAAATTACAGTACTTTTTGTAATTTTTCATGTCATTTTTTTGCATTGCCTCCAGTGAGTGTAAAGCCTGGTTCACACGGCAGAATAATTAGGCCGATTTAAGACTATTCATCCCTGACAACAACCTTAAACACACTCAGATTTTTTGTAAAATAATCTGATGGATTTTCCTGCCATGTGTGGTGTGTTAAGACTGCGCTCGTCGCTCAGAAGGACTTCGGGACTGCTCCGATCTCAAATCTGGGATTTTCAACATGTTTTTGGCCCGATTTCTCTTTGTGTGTGGTGTCCCCAAGGACAGATGAGCACTTTGCCAGTGGACTGCAGCGTGTAGCCGATCAGAAACGAGGTGACGAGGCGGCAAGGAAACACCAGGAATAAAAACTGTTAGCAGCATGGCGTACCAGTAAGTCCGGTGGACGTCGGAGATGGAGGCCCATCTCGTCAACCAATGGCAACTTTTGATATCGCCTTTTCTATGTTAAAAACAAACTGCTAACTTTGTTCACTGCGTCCACCTCTTCCACCATGATTGTTTAGTCTAAAGTCACGCTTGATCTCGAGAGATTTTGCTAGATTTCTGTCTTACCTGTGACTGCTGGAGTCAATTTCGGTTTGTGTGTGATGTGTGTGGTTTGCGTGATTTTGCCTTGTGGCTGTGCACCACACACTGCATGACCAAAGTTGTTAGACCCTTGATTTTTAATCTCCGTGTGTAGGATCTCTCAGGTTTGGAAAATCGGCCGCCAATTTCAAAATCGTCTCATGTGAACCAGGCTTTACATGCCTATTCTAGCCTTTGTTCTCTTTGTGCCTGTGGCTGCTTCATAAACAACTGCACTTCTCTGTATTTTCTCTCGTTCATGTTTTTCCTGTGTGCTTTGCTCCCAGTAGATGTGACGACTCCCACCACCTCCACTCAGGTCTTCTACATCAGCGTTAGCGTGTGTTGCATCGTCATCTTCCTCGTGGCCATAGTGTTGGCCATTCTCCATCTGCACAGCATGAAGAGGGTAGAGATGGAGGACAGGTGCGACACACTTTTTCACTCAGCTCCAAAATGGGTCATCTGTGAGCTTTTAGCAAGTTTGAACATGCGTGTGTGAATGTGCTTGGGATACTGAAGTTTAACTGCATTGAGCCTCAGGTGATGTGTCATTTTAATATTGTTAGAAATCAGATAACATCCTTCCTTCTGCATTTCCTCTTTCATAAATGCTTCACTCAAACTTGGCACATGAAGGCTGGAAGTCAATATCTCTGGATATGTCATTGTCCTGTTTATCTAATGGACGCTACAACCAGTATTATTATATTACTGTATATTAGTTTTACTGTGTAATAGTTTTAGGCAAGAATAGTGTTCTATTGTATATATTATAAGGATCAACGTATTTGCTTCTGTATTTCTCACATCGCAGCAGTGAAAGTGTATGTGCCTGTACGTGTGTGTCTCTCTCTCTCTCAGTCAGTGTCTCTCTGCTTTTGTCTGTCTGTCTGTCTCTCTCTCTCTAGCCATCTCTATCTATGTCTCACCAGCTCCTCATAAACGCTGTAATTTAGCAAAAATGACGTAGATCTCCGAGATCTCTTGAAACCAGCCACTTTCCCTCTCCTCAATAATGTTAATTGTATCATTCTTTTCTCCTGTAGTGTGAGTGACAGTGGCAGCTCCCAGGGCCTGTCCCAGCCTTCCACACAGACCACGCAGTACCTTCGGGCCGACACTCCCAACAACGCCACTTCAGTCACCAGTAAGACCCCAGCTCCAAACACCACCTCTTCACTAACCTCTCGTCCTCCATAAACAACATTATTTACTGTCCTCTTGTTTTATTTTAAGAACATTCGCCATAATTTAATATTGGTAAGAACATTGGTGCATAAATATAGTTTGTTTATTCTCACTCCTCAGCTCTGCATGCCTCTCTCAATGCAATAACCAGCCCTGAATGACCTATTCGCTAAACTGGTGTCATAAGATTCAGATAAAGGTTTGTTTTACTGTAGAGCTATGGTTTTGGGACTTAGTATTTTCTGATCATATGTGTAGCATTAGACTAGTTGAATTTGAACTAGCACTGCACCAAATACTGCAACAATTTCCTCATTAAAAGCAAAAGTTTCATCAAGGCAGTGTCTTTAAAAGTGTATTTTAAAAGTCTTACATTCCAAAAGTTGAATTTTAGGCCTTAAAACTCCTGCATGACAGTCGTCTGTCTCAAAGTCAAACACAACCTAGATCAGATTTAGATTCAAATTCAGTTTATTTGCCATTTGCCATAAAACTGCATTGGAATACATGTGGTAAGGTCCACTTAAAAACTAAAAGTACAATGAACAATTGCCACTGTGACACCAATCAACAAAAATAGTATCAATAACCAGGGCCAGATCATTAAAGTGCTTTGTTCGGACTAATAATAGCTTGTGGAAAGAAGTTGTTTGGATATCTGTTAACAAATGATGTCTTCTGCCAGAGGAAGAAGCTGGAACATGGCTTTTCCAGCGGCCAGAAGAGTCATTGATTATTCTACGAGCTTGGTTTAAGAGTCTGGTCTGGTCCTGGGCTATAATTGTCAAACCCTGTTGGAAAGTCTTCTGTGCAGAATTCTAAATGCCCAAATCTAATCTATTCTTAAAGTCAAACAAAACTACTTTCATAAGAATCATCCCCATGATGTCCTCGAAGAGTTTAGACAGAAATCTAAACTCTCCAGGATTTAAGTTTAGTTCGGGTGTTTTTGGCTGGTTCCTGCTGTAATTATGCGCAGGCCTGGACTGTATTAAGCTAAAGGCAAAATAATCTGGAATGACTTTTAAGAAAATCTTTGAGCAATATGAGATCAAAAAATCAAAAGTTATGATATCAAAAGGTTTTGCGTGTGAAAAGTGTCCCAGCTGTAACTGTATAACATTATGTAAATGTAAACGCACATAAAAAATCCTTTTATCACTGCCCTTTGACAACGTACAGAGCCAAAATATTTCACTAACTCTCATGTTGGATTTATGCTTTATGGCCACATAACTTTTATTTGTTATTATCTTTATATATGTTTTGAAGTATAGAATGTTTTGGGACATAGATGGGTGGTATGATGGCAGAGTGGTTAGTACTCTCGCTTCTCAGCAAGAAGGTTCTGGGTTCAATTCCACCTTCAGAAGGAGCTTTTCTGAGTGGAGTTTGCATGGTCTCCTCGTGTTTGCGTAAGTTTTCTCTGGGTGCTCCAGTTTCCCCCACCACCAAAAATATGTGCATTTGCTCCCCTCTCTCTCAGATCAGGACTCCCCTGAAATTAGATTTCGGGAGAAAAATCCGGGAAAAAACATGAACTAACTTTCAATCAATTTTTTTATTATTATATTCAGATGCTTAAGGTCCGTATAAAACAAAAATGTAAACAAACAACCTCGGATTGTTGATGGTGTGTGTCTCTCTGTGTGTGTTTGTATAAACATAAGTTGATTTTGTATCAAATCATCCCATTTGAGTTTTCTTGTGAATCATAAGACCAGTCCTGCTCTCTCCACTTATCTGACAAGGCCTCTTTTGACAATCTTGTGAATTATAATCTTGTACAAGTGTCAGTTTTTTTGTTTTTCTCCAAATGAGAACATGGGGCAGTGCTCGGATGGCTATCAGGGCTCATTCTGACACTTATGGCAGAGATTTACCAAGCGTCTTTGACCTGTATACCCCCTCGCCATTCGTATTGGGCACGAGTACCGGTACTAAATATGTTGTGTTGTGTGCTTCCGACTGTTCTGTAACTTGTGATGCAACACTGAAATTTACACACTGCAGGACTAATGGAGGATCTCTTAATGTAGCTTTATCGTTAAGGGGGAACGTGTCTGATGTACCTCAAGGGTCAAACTCTTTCTGGTCTGGGGCCACAACTATTTAGGCTTTACTGTAATATCAAGGTCTCTGTTGGGTCCTTTCGGTAACGTCTGCTTATAACTCCTCATTTGCATCTTTTGATTATTTTGTAATTCATTGTATGTGTTTATTATTTAGGTATGTTTTAGTTAAGCTGAATTTTAGATTTTGAACACAATTAGTTCAGGCTCAGGCTCAAAGTCATGCTATTGCCCCAATTACTATTATTATTATTGTGTTCTAGCTTCAATGTTCAGAATTTAATAATTGTTGATAGAGAAAACACGCCATAGTAGCCCATATTAACTTTTTCTCAGTATTTGGAAGTTTTGAAAATGTATTTAAGTAGCCTCCCTGTTACACCACTGCATACCCCTATAGGATTTGGCCATTTCAAAGTCTTTCTGAATTGGCTAAACACATGATGAAGAAATATGCATCTCGATTGTCAAAAATGATGATGATGCCAACTGGGACAAAATAGTGAATACATCTTTGATACAATCTATCAATGTATCAAAATTTGGTCACCCAGTCACTATATGAAATGTGTAATGTATTGTCATCTAGGTTTACTTCAGTTTAAGCCCTATTGTAGTGTCCTGCTTTTGTCTAGTTTCTGATAAGTTATCTTAGTTTTAATACCAAAAATGGCTACCACCACTTCCATGTCCTCTGACGAGCCTTGAGATGTGTTTTTCCAATAGTATCCTGCTGCCCCCTTGTGGATAGGACATGTAACACCTGTGCATTTGTTTAACCCCCTCTTGCCCTTTTGTATGTCTGTCTGCATTTGTGATTTATATTTTTCTGCCCATCACGCCTCTTTTTAATACACCCCTGTCTCATCTCCCTTCACCTCTTCATCAGATAATCACCCTGGCTCCACACCCATTCTCCAGCTTGCCGCCTCCTCCTTCCAAAACCCCGGTGTCCCCCCCCACGAACCCAAAAGTAAGTGCTAGTAGTCAGGTCTCCGAAAGAAAACCAGTCTGCTTTAAGCTTTGCATGTGGATAAATACATTCATACATTCATAGTAAAAATAGATACTTTATTAGCAGAAAGTAGATGTACAGTAGCAGCAGTAATAGGCCAGGGGCATTCATCCATTCAGGCTGTGGTTCCTGACTTTGTGTCTATGTAATTAATATTATATTTCGTTTGTTAGAATGAATCTGAACTCGACTAGGTGTGTCACAGGAACTGGTGTAGTTCCAGCGTACAGTGAGACTTTCCAGCCTGTACTCTGAGTCTGCTGAAGTTTTTTTAAGGCTATAAACTTAAATAATATTTTTTTGTCCCAATCCACATTTTTATATAGCACATTTAAGTAGTATACTGGCCTGCCAGATTTATGTGTAATAAAAACATAAATACAAAAAAAAAGAAACATTAAAACCTATGACATGAAGGCAATTAAAATTATACATACATAAAAAGCTAATGTAAAATAAATAAAACTGAAGACAGACAGAAATCACGCAGTGTTAGCATTATCTCTGACAGCTGTGAGCTGATTGGCTGAGGGAAGGTAGAGGCCGGGTTGGATCAGATGCTAGGTCTAAACTGCTAAAGGCTTGCATACATGCATGTGAAAACAGTTTTGAGAGCATGGAAGTAGTTAGACGGATTCAAACCAGGTATTTTTTATTTTAAAAAAAAGAAGAAGAAAAGTACCACAATATTTTTTGTCTCAATACGCGTCTTAATTAGCGGGTTCATACTGTGACATCCCGAATTATGACATACTGACTTTGTCTTATTAGAAAATATTTTAATTTAAAGCCGTTCGTTTTATATCACAAAAAAATTCTCAACCCAAAGCATCATGAGTCACTACACTTCTAAAGTTTACAAAATATAAAAACTTTCTGTTCAGATAAACATGAAAAAGGTTATGTACCTCAGATTTTACACATGCACTGCTTCTAATATTTCATCTTGTGTATTTGAAGTTGTTCTACTGGAAAATGTTATATATATATATATATATTTGTAATTGTTTGTTCCTCCTATTCAAGTCGTTTATATCATCTGCTTGTTTAACAAACTTTTCTGTCTGTCTTTTCAATTTTGTTCACTTTATATTTATTAGAAATATTACCATTAGATATCATTCAGAAATGAACACGGTTGTTTTTTACTTTACTGAGTTAAACATGTTTAAAATTTCATTCCAAATTATTTTTGTACCTTTCTCAACCACCACCAGGGGGCGACCTACACTGCTTTTTTAATAAATGGCTCCATTGCTCTCAGGCATATATGTCTCCTGTTGTGTGTATTTTGACCCCATATATAGAAAGGCCATTTTATTCGTTCCATGATGATGGATGAAGCCCAAATATAGAAATATTGTCTTTACACAGTCTGTTTTTTTTCCATTGTAAGTTCACACTGTGGGGAACTTCACCAACATGAACTTTTGCAAAGACTTTATTACGTAATAGCCCCACTGTCATTACGGATCAGTCTTTGGTTGAAGCAAGAAGCCGGTTTCTTGTAAAGGCTGAAGTTATTTGAATTTGGCCTCCTTATTAGTTTAACTAACATTATTGATATCTTTAAACTTGTAATACAATTGAATTTAATGTATTTGCGTATTAACGGTCTGCGACTACTCTGTTTAAAAGAAAAATGCACTTTAGAAAGCAACATGCAGTACAGTATACCCTCACTATAACGCGGTTCACTTATTGCGGTCTTTTTATGTTACACATGCACTGCGTTTATACTCCCACAACATCTTATAAACGCTAGTATAACATGACATTTACCTTTTATTTAAAGTCACAAGAAAACGTTTGTGACTTGTGCCAATGGTGATTAGTTCAAAGGACTCTGCCTTTGGTCTCTTTTGGTCTTTGGCTATTGTCTCTCTGGTCATTCTTTGGTCATTCTCTGGTCTCTGCGCCGCTGTGATTAGGGATTGTGATTAGTTCAGAGCACTACCGCAGTCTTCCCGTGCTGCTGCCCCCCAGTGCAGTGTCCTCTGCAGCTGTGTTTTTTACAGTATATGCTCGTCTTTTGACAGCTGCAGCAGTGCTCAGGCCCACAGCCAACAGGTTTGATATTCCCGCAGTCGTGAGTTCAGGTGGTTAGAAAAGTGTGTGTGGGGGGTTTTACAGCCTTAACACATGAGCTGCTACTTTCACTTATTCACTTATATTTCCAAAAGGTAAACCCCATAATAAACCAGGAACCAGTGTATTATATATTTGTGAATCTAAATACAGCTCCTTTGCGCAGGTTTCCCGTCTCTTCGCATCGAGAAGAACGACCTACGCAGCGTTACTCTGACTGAAGCCAAAGCCAAAGTGAAAGACATCGCTATCTGCAGGGAGAGGGTGACACTGCGGAACGTCCTCCAAGAAGGTACTGCACCCCCAACATGTTCAAGATATATCTCTGCTGTAGTTTGGGCTTATTTAAAGCTGGGGTACCCAAGTTTAAAACCTCAAAAGGTGAACTATACAATACAATTCTTTTTACAGTGCCTTGCGAAAGTATTCGCCAGATACATAACTAACAGGCAAGACAAAAAAAAAAATATATATATATATAAATAACTAAATAAACAACAACAAAAAATAAGAAAAACAAACCAAACACACACAAGTCCCCGAGGCCTTCATCCACTTATCCATTCTCTCATTTGCCATTTTCTATGGGACATCAGTCCCATTTCAACATCTTCCATTTTTTTTTGTGCACAATTATCCTTTTTGTGTTTGACGCTATTATTTTTTCCATTGCATATTGTTGTTTCAGTTTATTTTTAAAGTTATTCAAACAGAGTTCTGCATTGGTTTTACATTTAAAGATAACAATTTTACCCATCAGGATGATTACATTCTCTACATTCGTTGAGTTGCTGTCCAAGATTCCCAACATTATATTCATGGGATTGATGTCAATCTCGATCCCTAATCGACACAAGCATCTTTGGACCATTGTCCAAAATAATGAAACATATGGGCAAAAATAAAATAGATGCATTAGGTCTTCCTCCTCCTCTTCACAGAATCTACACATGGGGCTTTTAATGATCTTACATAAATTCAGGTGTTTTCTTGTTGCTGTAATTTTATAGAATAGCTTTATTTGGAAAACTTTAGAGTAAGAATCTATGGCAGTTTTGTATATATTTTGGAAAAAATGTTTCCATAAAACAGGACAATTAAATTCATCTTCCCATGCAGTGCAGATTCTGTGAGGGTAGAAGGCTGTTCCAGACATACAAACATTATACTTGTACATATGTTTGTTTATCTTGTCCATTAAGAATTTGTTGCATCTCACTCGTGGCAAACACGAAAGCTTGAAAGCTCAGCCATGCCTTGAATGCATCTTTAAAGAATGTGAAGATATTTATCAGTTTAACATTCATTATTTGGTTAATATGATTGGCTTTAATCTGGAAAAATGGAAATAATTTACTCTGAAAAATTGGGTATGCTTTAGTTAGCATTTGACTAGATATCCAATTAGGGTTGTGATACAATTTATGAATCCAGGAGGCTTTCAGAGATTCATTCATGATTTCTAGATTTTTTAAGTTTAATCCACCATTTTCAGGCGAGTTGTACATATATTGTCTTTTAATTTTGTCTGGCTTATTATTCCATATAAATGTAAACATTTTTTGTTCAAAACATTTAAAGAATTATCTGTCCGGTGAGGGAAGTGTTAGCAATAAATATACCATCTGAGGGATTACAAGACAATTTATTAATGTTACTTTTCCCATCATCGTTAAATGTGTTCCCCTCCATGGCAGTAACAGACTATCTACCTTTTTCATTCTTTTATCAAAGTTAAGCCTTATGGTTTCTTCAGTTTTACTACAAATATGAATTCCTAGAATCTTTACATCGCTATTAGTCCATTTCACGGGTACTGAACATTTGATCTCAAAATCTGAACCTGAAATGTTTCCTAATCTCATAATTGCACACTTTCCAAAGTTCGGTTTTAGGCCAGACATATTTGCAAATAATTGTAATTTTTTTATCAGTTCATTTAGTGATTGTTCCTCAGGTTGTAAAAAGAAGGTAGCATCATCTGCATACATTGTTAGTTTGATTTCTCTGTTATTTAGTTGCAAATCTTTAATTGAAGTATTATTTCTAACTCTGATGGCCAATATTTCCATACACAGAATAAATAAGTACGGAGACGGGGCCATCCTTGTCGCACACCTCTGGATAAAATGAAACTGTCTGATAAATACCCATTATTAACTATTTTACTAGTTGGTTGGTTATATAGTGTTTGCACCCATCTTAAAATATTATTTCCAAAATTGAAAAATGTTAGTGTACTGTACATAAACTTCCAACTTATTTTATCAAATGCTCTCTCAAGATCCGAAATAAATAAAATTCCAGATTTTTCATGTTTTTCGTAATCTTCAATTATGTCAATAACTTGTCTAATATTTTCCCCTATAAACCTTCCTTTAATAAATCCTACTTGCTCATGTTTTATAATATTTCCAATTACTTTTTTCATACGTTGAGCTATACATTTGGTGAGTATTCTTGTGTCACAACAAAGTAGTGTTAGGGGTCTCCAATTTTCTACTTGTGTAGGGTCTTTGTATTGGCCATCAGAGTTTTGCTTCAACAGCAGTAATATCACACCTTCTTTTTGTGACGTTGGCAATTCACCTTTTGATGTTTTTTTTATATTTCCTTAAAAAACACAAAGTAAACTTCTATGGGAATTACATCTAACCCTGTGGCTTTCCCAGGGGAAAATGATTTAATAGCATCATATAACTCATCCTCTGTTAGCTCCCCTTCACAACTTTGTTTCTGTATTAATGTTAGTTCATACTCTTTTGGATCGGGGAAAAAATGACAAATACCAGATGACTGACCATCTTTGTGAGAAAATAGTGTTTTAAAATAGTTCACTCCCTCGTTTAAAATTTCTTTGGGATTTGATAGAGTTCCATTTGATGTTGACAAGTTGACAATGTTTTTTTTGGTAACATTTCTTTCCTGTTATCTTAAGAATTGTGCAGTACATTTCTCCTCATGTTCCATCCATATTCATTACTAGATCGCTCGTGATCTAGTAATGAGTCCAGGTACACACTCATAGTAGAGATTTTCTAACTCATCCTGTTTTTGTTTGATTGTGATAGAGAGCTCGGCTGCAGAATATTGTTCACTATCAAGTTTTTCATTCAGCTCCTTAAGTTCCTGCATTAATTGTTTTTCTTTGTCTAAAGCCTCTTTTTTTTTTAATAGAAGAATTTTTTATGCAGTGCCCTCTGAAAGCACATTTAAAAGCTTCCCAGACCATATGGGGACTAGCTGTATTTTCATTCATTTGAAAAAACTCATCAATAAATGTCGTTGTTTTGTTGATAAAATGCTCATCCTTTAACAATGATTAATTGAATTTCCAGAAACCTTTTCCTCTTGGATATTCAGCAATTATTATTTTAAGTGAAACCAGCGAATGATCTGATCTTAATTTGTCACCAATATAACATTGAATAATTTTAGAGACCAAGGAAAAGGAAAGTAAGAAATAATCTAGCCGACTGGCCTGCTGCCCTCTGCGCCAGGTGTACCGTATAGAATCTGGGTGCCGAAGCCTCCATATGCCGACTAAATCAAGAGAGGCTTTCAGCTCCTCTATTTCATTCAGGGCTTGTGGATGGTTATTAACTGTATGTGTACCGGCTCGATCTTTTTTTACATCTAAAACAGTATTAAAGTCTCCAGTTAATATTATTTCCGATTTATCTGTAAGGTTAATGTGATTGAGCATATTACCAAAAAAATCCGGATTGTCATCATTAGGGGCATATATATTGATTAACTTAATGATCAGGTTTTCAATTGTTATATCTGTAACTAACCATCTTCCATCTAAATCAGCCTGAACTTCATGTACTGTGTGAACTAGATCCTTCTTGAACATAATCATCACCCCTCTGCTGTTGCTAACCCCATGACTGAAGTAAATATCACCCTCCCATTCGGATTTCCATTGAGTTTCATTCTCCGGTGTTGAATGAGTTTCCTGTAAACAATTTTTTTTTACATCTGGCTTATCTTTGAACCAAGCAAATATTTTGTTTCTTTTTGTGGAATTGGCCAACCCATTGCAATTATATGTTAAAATTTCTATACTACATTCCATTAAATATTATTGTAATAATACTCAAGCAATGAGGGCCTGATATACTTGTAATCATCTTCACGGACTTGTATGACTTTGTAATCTTTTATCCCCGAGTCCTCATCCTCAACTCAGCCACTTGGCACGGTGGCTGAGTGGATAGCACTCTCGCCTCTCAGCAAGAAGGTCCTGGGTTCAAATCCCGGTTGGACCAGGGCCTTTCTGAGTGGAGTTTGCATGTTCTCCCCGTGTCTGCGTAGGTTTCCTCCGGGTGCTCCGGTTTCCCCTACCACTAAAAATATGTACAATACAGTGCCTTGCGAAAGTATCCGGCCCCCTTGAACCTTTCAACATTTCGCCACATTTCAAGCTTCAAACATAAAGATATAAAATTTTAATTTTTTGTCATGAATCAACAACAAGTGGGACACAATCGTGAAGTGGAACGAAATTTATTGGATAATTTAAACTTTTTTAACAAATAAAAAACTGAAAAGTGTGGTGTGCAATATTATTCGGCCCCTTTACTTTCAGTGCAGCAAACTCACTCCAGAAGTTCAGTGAGGATCTTTGAATGATCCAATGTTGTCCTAAATGACTGATGATGATAAATAGAATGCACCTGTGTGTAATCAAGTCTCCGTATAAATGCACCTGCTCTTTGATAGTCTCAGGGTTCTGTTTAAAGCGCAGAGAGAACCATGAAGACAAAGGAACACACCAGGCAGGTCCGAGATACTGTTATGGAGAAGTTTAAAGTGGACATATCAGTCTATGATGCTCACACGCCGGTTTGTTTACAACAGCGGCCGCCCGGCGCGGCCTACGTCGCAGGATATGACGCACTACGTTGACAGAAATGTTTAAATTGAATATTACTTATGCACAATTTTACAGCATTTAAAAACTTTAAGAACGTTTTTCCTTCTACAGAAGGAAAGAGACGCATTCGCCTCCGGAGCCGCAGTTTGCCGACTCCTAGTTTATACAGTATGTGGAAGCATACTGTAGAGGATCAGGATATGTGCAGTTTCAACAATAACATAAAATGCAATAGTCTACATTACAAGAGGGTAATGAACATGTCTCAGAGTGAGGGAGGTGGGCACAGACAACACTATTGTTTGTTACAGGGATGAGAATTGGTCAAAAAAGACTGAAATGCATATTGTCAACCATTTGCTGGCTCTAAATCTGTTTAATTTGTTCACAACATATTACTTTTGGGCTCAAACATGAACTTTTTATTCAATGCAAAATGTAGGTATCAGAGCTTTATTTAGGGCGTTTAATCGCGCTTCGAGAGGAGAGACGCGGACTGTTTCCTGCAGCAGTGTATTTATTGGGTGCACAGATTACTCAAAGACACGCATGGTCCTGTGCGCGTTTATGGGGTTGGGTACATGGCCACGTTGAGGCTGCGCGCTCAGCCACAACACGGTGGAGCGGCTGCGAGTGGCTGGACGCTCACAGCCTCTCGCAGCCGCTGGACGCGGAAGCTGCTCATTACAAAGCGGCCGCAGATGCCCCGGAACACTGTGGCCGCTGAGGTGGCGGAATCCCGTTCGAGTACATACAGCAGGTGCCCCGCGGATACGCGCGCCCCGCTCAAAAAATTCTTCACGGATTTACACTTCTCATAAACATGTGTTTTGTATGAGGCAGACAGACCGGCCCAAATATGGGCATCGGCCCTTTGGGCATT